CGGGACCACACCCCAGCCCCTCACTGGGGGATTCTAGGCAGGGGTCTACCCCTGATCACACTCCAGCCCCTTACTGGGGGATTCTAGGCAGGGGTCTATCCCTGACTACACCCCAGCCCCTCACTGGGGGATTCTAGGCAGGGGGTCTACCCCTGACCACAACCCAGTCCCTCACTGGGGGATTCTAGGCAGGGGGTCTACCCCTGACCACACCCCAGCTCCTCACTGGGGGATGCTAGGCAGGGCCTCTTCCCCTGAGCCACAGTCCTAGCTCTCTACCTTCTTTATTTTTTGAGGCAGGGTGGTCTTTTTTATTGATCTTGGAACTTGCTGATTCAAGCTAGACTCTGTGGCTCGCCAGCCCTAGGGATCCTCCTGTTTCTGCCTCCCCATCACTGGGATGACAGACGTACAATTGTTGTTTTTATGTGGGCGGTAGGAATTCGAACTCAGGTCCTCATGCTTGCAGAACAAGCACTTTGCTGACTGAGCCACCTCCCCAGCTGTCCCAGTGACCTTCTGAGTGTGCGTCTACCCCACGTGACATCAGTTATGCCATCTGTAAGATTGCACAGGACTGTTGCGAGAATTGAGAGGGAGCGCTGTGGTAGTGTGGAGACACGGGGTTAATGGTAGAGGCAGAAGAGATAGGAGGAGGATGGCTCAACTTTGTTCCCGGAACGGTGACCAGATGGTCCTGGCCCTGCCCCTCCCCTTCCTCAACACGTCTTCTTTTGGAGGAAGTTTAGAGTTGCTCCATAAGTCCATGGCCTTTTTTTTTTTTTTTTTTTTGGTTACTCCTGGCAGTAGAAATGCAAGGAAGGTAGCTGGGGAGATGGCCCAGTGGGTAAGAGCTCTTGCTGCTCAAGATGAGGACCTGAGTGTGAATCTCTAGCGCCCACTTACTGTGTGCTTGTCCCTAGCCTCCTCTGTAAGTGTGGCAGAGACGGGAGGTTTGCAGGCCTTGCTGGCTATCAGTCTAGGTCCAGGTCCAATGAGAGATCATGTGTCAAGGGAATCAGGTTGAGGGTGATGGATCTGGGCACCTGACATCCTTCTCTGGCTTCTGCATCTATGTACCTGTATACACACACATGCACATACATCACACAGTCCTGCACATACAACACACACACAAGGTATGTTTAAAGGAGTGTTTCATAAAGTTGTGCATTTGGGGGTTCCTTTTAACATTGGCATATTTTGTTAACTAAGGTGAAGAGGAGGTGGAAATGTAGCTTGGAGAATACAAGGTGTCAGGCATAACACGGTGCAGCATAATGGAGCTTGGAGGAAGGAGCCTGGAATCCTAGCATTTGAGAGGTGGAAGCAGCAAGGTTATTAGTTCAAGGCTGGGGCTGGGGAGATGGCTCAGTGGTTAAGAATGCTTGTTACTCTAGAAGACCTGTGTTTGGGTCCCAGCACCCATGTCAGGTGGCTCACAAACCACCTGTAACTCCAGGTCTGGGGAATCTGACGCCCTCTTCTAGCCTCTGAGGCCACAGCCCCCTATACATATAAATAAAATATAAATACATATAACAAAAAATAAATCTAAAGAAAATTAGCTCATGGTTACTCTCCTCCTACCCTTGGCTACATGGGGAGTTCAAGGACAGGTTGGGATTCATGGGGCCTTGTATAAACAAACAAACAAACAAACAAACAAACAATCCAAAAATGGGCACTGGCTGCTCTTGCAGAGGATCCAAGTTTGGTTCCCAGCACCTACATGGTGGCTCACAGGCACCTGTAACTCCAGTGCCAAGGACCCTGGTGCTCTCTGCTGGCTTCCAGGGGCACAGTACTCATGTAGCAGACATAAAGATACATAACTAGAAGTTAAAACAAAAACAGCACTGGGTCTCTTTGTCCCTTTCCCCAATGTGGCCACATTGAATAAATCTTTCTTTTCTGCCTTTCATTATTAAAAAAAAAAAGAATCTTTAAAACCAACAGCAGCATAGGGGCTATAGGTAATAATACAGAGGCGGGGGAATGCAAGCATTTTGTTTCAAGTACAAAGAACAAAACTGTTAAACACTTAAAGAGGGGGGAAAAAGTTCCCTTCCCTCAAGGCCAGGGGAAGTGCACAGAGGACTCTCTGTGTGTACTGAGAAAGATGTGTTCATCTTGCTGCCCTTTGAAGACCATTGGCCTCCCCCTCCAGAGTGATGGGCTTGCCTGTGAGGTTCTCTACAAGGATCTGCACCCCACCTCCGAGATGAAGCAGGCACAGGGTAGACTCCTCTGGGATGTTATAGTCACACTGGGCATGGCCATCTTCTAGCTTCTTGCTGGCAAAGATCAGCCTGTGCTGATGGGGGCTGGGGAGACACTGTCCTTGCCTTGGGTCTTGGCGTTGACCTGATGGTGTCACTGGGCTCAACCGCTAGGGTGATGGGCTTACCAGTTAAGGGTTTTTCTTTTCCATTTATGCCTCTGTGACATGCCTCTGTGTCATTTATGTGCACGTGAGTGCAGGTGCCCACACAGGCCAGAAGTGGGTGTTAGATCTCCTGGAACTGGAGTTTATAGGTGTTTGTGAGCCACGTGATGTGGCTGCTCGAACTGAATATCACCAGAGCAGTAAGCACTCTTAACCGCTGAGCCATCTCTGACCTCAGCTAACGTCTTAACTGATAGCTGCATTGTAGTAATGTAGCAGTCCTCATAGAAAAACAGCTATGGTCATAATGGACCTCACTCCAACATCAGGCCTTTGAGACAGGGTCTCATGAGCTCAGGCAGGCCAGGAATTCACCGTGTAGCCAAGGATGAGCTTAAACTCCCACGCCTCAGGCCTCTACCTCTAAAGTGTTATGATTACAAGTGTGTGCCTTGCCCTGCCTAATAATGCTGTACTGTGGATGACGAGATGGCTCATTGGGTAAAGGAATTTGCATCCAAACCTGAGGATCTGAGTTCAATCCCTGGGACCAACATGCTAGGAGAGAACCAACTCCTGAATATTGTCCTCTGATTTCCATGCATGCACCATGGAGACACACACACACACACACACACACACACACACACACACACACACACACACGCTCGGCCTGTGCATATGAAGTCTAGAGGTTAACATTGGGCATCTTCCTTAATCAGTTTTTCACCTTTTTTTTTCTTTTTGTGGAAATATTTCTCTGTGTAACCCTAGTTAGCCAGAAACTTTCTGTGTAGACCAGGTTAACTTGACAGAGATCACCTGCCTCTGTCTCCCAAGTGCTGGGATTAGAGGCATGCACCACTATGCCTAGCATGCAAAAGGCTTTTAATGTGGTGGCTGGGGATCAGAATTCAGGTCCTCCTGCTTGTTATGTAGGCTAAGCTTGGGCTATATAAGATCTTGCTCTAAATCAATAAATATTAAAGTATCTTCTTTTCTCCCTTTCTTTTTTTCTTTCTTTCCTCCTCTTTTTTTTTTTTTTTTTTTTGAGACAGGGTTTCTTTGTGTAGCTCTGGCTGTCCTGGAACTTGCTCTATAGACCAGGCTGGCCTCGAACTCATAGAGATGTGGAATTAAAGGTGTGTGCCATTACTGCTGGCATATTAAAGTCTTTTCATTTGTCCGACTTATAATTTCCTCTGCTGATCTCAATTTTGCATCAGCCACTATCTAATTAAAAGATGGAGAGAGCTGGGTGGTGGTAGCACACGCCTTTAATTCCAGCACTCGGGAGGCAGAGGCTGGTGCATCTCAGTGAGTTCAAGGCTAGCCTGGTCTACCAATCAAGTTCCAGGACAGCCAAGACTGTTACAGAGAAACCCTGCCTGGAACCCCTCCCCCCAAATAAAAACAAAAAAGAGAAAGGAAGGAAAAGATGGAGAGATGGTAGTGTAACAGCTCACAAGCCTGCCAACCTGAATTCAGTTGTCCTCTGACCTCCACATAGGCACAGTGTGTGACCCACACACATCACATGCATGTAATAAGAACAACTGAATAATACCTTTAAAGGCAGAGAAGGTAAACCAGGTTCCACTGAGTCATTTACACACATGAATATTCTGTATTCAGGTTGCAACTATGACCATCCACTATTTACCATTTAAATTACATGTGAGAAAGAGGGATTTCCAAAGGATCCAGAGGGTTGGGTCCCTTGCTCCTTGCACCAGAAAGTAGAGCTCTTGTCTAGAATCCCCAAGTGGGGTGCTTCTGGTGATGGCTGAGAGGCATCTCCCAGGAAGGGACTGAGGACCTAGCTCCTTGGTAGGGCTTTTGCTTAGACTCCCCCAGTGAGGGGCTGGGCCTGGAGCTCCATAGTAGACCATGTGCATAGAGTACACCACTGAAGGGCTGGGGTGTAGTTCAGAGGGAAATCACCTGCCCAGAATCTTCCAGTGAGGGCCTGGGGACATGATTCAGAGGTAGGGGCCTGCCTAGAATCTCCTAGTGAGGGGCTGGGGGTGTGACTAAGCAACTGAGCACCTGCCTAGATTTTAGGTGGTAGGGCTCGACCACAGTGTATATCTGCAACCAAAGAAATGTATGCAAACTGAGACACAGGGACAGTGTCTCAGTTTGCATCTCCGGCCCCTCCCTGAATTCCGGCCTCTTCCACTATGGTCCCTGGAGTTATCCCCAGACATCACCTCTGAGCAGTACCTGATGCAGGAAGGGCTGTGCAGGAGGGAAGCCCCTCCTCTGGGGCTTCTAGAGTCTGCTTCTCTTGACTCAGATGTGGCAATGGAGGGCAAGTGGCCAAGGGACTTATTACCCAAGGCAGGATGGGCCACATCCAGAGGTCTACAAGAAGGAGCAGTGGGACAGGAGCTCCTGTCCAGACCTGATTTGTGTCCTGCTAAGTCCACTGCCACAGTAAGTGACAGCCCTCCCCTAGTCAGAGCTCTGATGTGGGGGACCTAGGGCCACTGAATGTCCATCCCCGTGTCCCGCAGGGACGGAAGGACATCGTGGTCTGACTCTCTCCAGCATGGGGCAGGTCTGGTGTAAGGTGGGGCTCTTGGTTGTCTCTTGCAGTACCTACAGGATGGAAAACCTCTCACTCCTCCTCCTCTTCCTCCTCTTCCCTGTCCCGGGGTTGCTGGGCTCCAGTAGGGCACTGTGTTCGATGGATGAAGCCATGGGCGAGAAGATCAAGCAAGGCTTCAGCTTCCTGTGTGAGGAGCCCTTCCCCCAGCCTTGTTGAGGGCCTCCCAGGCTTCTTTCATCCCTGATGGGGACACAGACCCACCCAGCTGCCAGACTCAGCCTCAAACTCACCCTGTCTACAAGTTCCGACCCAACCTCACCCTGTCCTACCTTCAACCACAGCTCCAACCCACAACCTAACTTCGTCCCACCATCACCCCCAAACCTCCCCTCACCCCAAAAGTCTTCTCATTCTGTGTTTGGAGTCCAGGTGTGAGCCACCATGCTGGACTCTCTGGGGCCAAGATATTTTACTGTATTTGTGTGTGCTGTGCATGTGTGTGTACATATGTGGTGCACAAGTGTGGAGGTCATGTGTGTGCATAGACACACGGAGGTCTGAAGTTGGTGTAGCACCATCGTCCCAGATCACTGTCTACTTTGTTGAGGCAGGGCTTCTCAGTTGAGCCCAGGGCCTGTGAGCTTGGGATAGTCTAGCCAGCTTGATCTGGGGGCCCTAACTCTGTCTGTGTCCTGGACGCTGGGATTATAGGTGGCCCCACACATGCCCGCCTGGCTTTTAGGTAGGTTCAGGGGGTCTGAAATCTCGTCCTCACACTCTGCTGGGAAGCATTGGACCCCTTTGTTAGTGTCAAGCCCAGTGATGTCCCCGTGCAAGGATGCAGTTGGGACAGCCTGGTTGTATCATGCCTTCCATCCTCCTTTCTGCAGTGTCAGAAGCAGTAAAGAACATTGGCATACAGTGCCGGACAGTCTCTTCCAGAGGGGAGTTGGCCTCCTGTCCAGAGGGTGAGTGCACACTGTTGCTCAGACTTTCCGGAAGTCCCCGAGACTCTGCTTTCCTCGTCTCGGTCCTCAATATCGACTTCCTTAGGGCTCTGCCCCAGCCTTCCCAACTTCTCGCCTCCCAGCCCTGCTCCAGGTCTCCATTAGTCCCCCATCCAGTCGTCCTGCACTCTGCTTCCTGGGCAACAGCCTCCAGCCTCCTCAGCCCATCTCCACCTCCCACTCCTGCAGGCCTCCCAGCTTCTCAAGGGCTTCTCTTCTTGCAGGCTTAGCAGTTACCAGCTGCTCCTGTGGTTCTGCCTGTGGCTCGTGGGATGTTCGAGAGGGAACAATATGCCACTGCCAGTGTGCAGGCATAGATTGGACCGCAGCCCGTTGCTGTACCCTGGGGCTTGGTGCCTGAGGTCTTGAGAGCTGAGCTGGCCTGCCATGTGCTGGAGCAGAGGGATGGGGATGGTGAGAGGGCAGGGGGCAGGTCCAAGATGAGGGGCTGGAAATACGGAATGAGATGATGGTGATGTTGCTGCTGATAGTGATGATAAAGATGCATGGTGAAGTGGACATGAGCCTTGTGTGGTTTCTTTAGTGGAGAAGGAGGTGTATGGGAATTGCTGTATGGCAATTTTATGAAGGTTTTTCTCCCTGTCTGTCACTCTGTTTCTTTTTTTTTCTTCCCCTTACTCCACCTTTCTGACAGGGTCTCATGTAATCCAGGCTAACCTTAAACAATCCTCACCCTCACAGATGACCCTGGACCTTGTTAAGACTGGGATCCATAGCTCTCAAGTCCATTTTCCACCTCTGTGGATGCAGTGTCAGAGGCACCCAGGACACTTACACCCCCATGAACACTAGAATACAAAAGCCCAGGACAGAGGATATCTCTTTCCTTCTATCTTGAGCTATTGAACGATTCCGTGGGCAAACATGCTTGCTGCCAGGGTTGATGATCTGATTCCTGGAACCTACATGGTGGAGAGAGAGAGCCAACCCCCGCAAGTTGTCTTCCCATTTCCACGTGTGCACTGGGGCACTTGTGCACCATGTGTTCACACACGATACATAAATAATAAATAAGTGCAATAAAAATATTTGTTGAATTAATAACTCTATGATGGTTGATTGTCAGCTTGACAGGACTGAGGCTTACCTAGAAGACACACATCTGGGCATGTCTGTGAAGGGGTTGGGAAACTGAGTTAATTAAGGTGTGAAGAACCTGAATGAAGGTGCTACCATTTCACTGTCGAGGTCCTGATTGAACAGAAAGGAGCTGGAGAGAGTTCAGAGGTTAAGAGCACTTGCTGCTCCCTCAGAGGACCCAAGTCAGTTTCCCTGTGCCTGTGTTGGGCAGCTGACAACCACCTCTAATTCATGTGCGCGCACGCACTGACACACACACACACACCAGCCATGGGGCCTGCAGAGATGACTCAGAGGGTAAGATCTCTTGCTGTTCTTCCAGAAGACCCAAGTTCATTTCCCAGCACCCATATGAGATGGCCCACGACCATCTATAACTCCAGCTCCAGGAGATTTGACAACTCTGATCTGTGCATGCACCTGTACTCATGTGCAAATATCCACATTTAGAAACACACATCCCTACACATAATTAAAAATAACAAAGATAAGCCAAGTGTAGTGGCACATGTCTTTAATCCCAGCACCCCGGAGGCAGAGGCAGGCAGATCTCTGTGAGTTTGAGTCCAGCCTAGTCTATGTAGTGAGTTCCAGGACAGTCAGAGCTACAGAGTGAGAGCCTATTTTGGGAAAAAAAAAACAGAATTAAGAAAAAAGAATAACAGTAACAACAAGCCTACACGCATAAGAAACTTAGGAGAGCCAGGTGGTAGTGGCACACATCTTTAATCTGGGAGGTAGAGGCAGGTGGATTTTTGAGCTTATGGCCAGCCTGGTCTACAGAGCTAGTTTCAGGACAACCAGGACTACACAGAGAAACCCTGTCTCAAAAACAAAACAAAATAATTAAATACATAAATAAATAAAATGTAAAAAAAATTGGGAGCTGGATGCTGGAGAGATGGCTCAGTAGTTAATAGCACTGGCTGCTTTTCCAGAGGACCCAGGTTTAATTCCCAGCACATGGCAGCTCACACCTGTCTGTAATTCCAGTTCAGGGCTTCTGATACCCTCACACAGACACACATGCAGGCAAAACACCAACGCACATAAAATAAAAATAATTTATAAAAAATTGGGGGCTGGAGAAAGATGGATCAATGGTTAAGAGCATGCCTTGCTTTTTTAGAGGAACTGAGTTCAATTCCCAGCACAAAAACCTGTTACTCCAGCTCCAGGGATGTCTGAGGCCTTCTTCTGGTTTCTGAAGGCACCTGTACTCATGTGCACACACCCACACATAAGTACACAGAATTAAAAATAAAACAAATCAGGCTGGGTGTGGTGGCCTCATGCCTTTAATCCCAGTACTTGGAAAGTAGAGACAGGACTGTTAGTTTGAGGCCATCCTGGTCTATCTGGTGAGTTCCATGCTAGCCAGTGCTACATAGTAAGACCCTGTCACAGTGAATGAATGAATAAAATATTATATAGTGTCTTTGATTTTGAAAGTTGTTTCATGCAATATATTCTATCAGGGCTTCCCCTTTCCATCTCCTCTCCACCTCCCCACCCCTCCAACTCCATACCTTCTCTCTCTCTCTTTCTCTTGAAAAGAGAAACCATATCTTAAGAAACCAAAACCAAAAAAACCCTCAGAATAAACCCATAATAATAAAGAAAAACCACAAGAAACATGCCTGTGTGCATGCATGTGCACATGTGCACACACACACACACCCCCCAAAACAAAACAAACAAACAAAAAGAACAAAAAATAAAAAAACCCAAGTCCATAAAAACACAAAATTGGAAAATATAATGTACAAACAAAAGGCCAGTAAGATGAAAAAAATTATGAAACAAAAAGTCTACAAAAACACCATTGAGTTCTTTCTGTGCATGGGGCCTGCCCCTAAATATGGTTCATTAAACCAGCGAGACTCCATTTGAGAAAAACAAAATTTCCTTTGCAAGCAATTATCAAGTGGAGATGGCTTCTTGGTTAGGGGTGGGAGCCACGCCCACTTCCCCCTCTCTATGCTGGGACTCTGTCTGAGTCCTGCTTAGTCTGGAAGACACTGTTTCCTCTAACTCTTACAATCTTTTCTCTCCTCTCTTGCATGGCTCCCTGAGTCCTGAAGGGGAAGGGTTTGATGAACACAGTCCATTTAGGACTGAGTGTTCCAAAATCTCTCTCTGCACACTGTCCAGTTTGGGGTCTCTTTGTTAGCTCCCATCTACTACAAGAAGAGGCTCCTCTGATGATGGCTGAGCAAGACACTGATCTCTGGGTATTGCAGAATGTTGTTTGGAGACATGTTATTGCTTTATTCCTTTAGCATAACAATAGTATTCAGTTTTCCCATAGGCCCATGGCCTGTCCAGTCTCAGGTTCTTAGGCACTGTAGCGGTGTCAGACGAGGGTATCATCTCATGGAGTGGGCCTCAAATCCAATCAGATAGAGGTTGGTTACTCCCACCATGCTGTGCCACTATTACATCAGCACGTCTTTCAGGAAGACCAGTGCTGTGGGTCACAGGGCTTGTGGCTGGGTTAGTGGTTGCCCTTCTCCTTTGGTACCAGGCAGAGTGCCTTCCAGTACCATGAACACTAGTCAGCAGGGGTGAAAGGTCTAGCTAGGCACTAGCTCCAATTCTCCATGTTCAGTGAGTTATGTAGGTGTTGTCTTCAGCAACAGGGCCTTACTATCAGTTTGTGGAGAGCAACCAATAGCCTTGGCAGGGGTTGTTTGGGGGTTCTCATGAAGGTCCCTTTGTCCGACAATTCAAGTAGATGTAAATCATTCCTGACACTGGAGGGTTCACTTGGTGGTGAAAGATGTCGAGCTGGGGCACTGTCGCCCTCTTACTTCAGGACGCCATTTAGATTTCTTTTATATATATATATGGAAGCTTCAACAGGAGTAAGTTTGTATATGACCCCTCAAATGGCTCTTACTGTTAGCTCTTCCCCCCTGTATCCCCTCCCTTACCCTCTCTTCCTTCCACCTTCCCACTTAATCCTCCCACTCTGGTCTCCCCATAACTACATCTTCTATTTCCTCTTCCTTGAAGATTGCCCCTCCCCCAGTCTCTTACTCTATACCTAACCTCTGTGGTTTTACAGATTGTAGTATATATGCTGAGGGTTTAAAAGCTAACATCTACACATAGAGAATACATACCATATCTGTCTTTTGGGGTCTGGGTTATCTCATTCAGGATGATTTTTTTTTCTAGCTTTATCCATTTACTTGCAAATTTCATGATTTCACTTTTTTTTCCCCTTTGAGACAGTGTTTTTCTGTACAGCCCTGGCTGTCTTGGAATTTGCTCTCTAGCCCAGGCTGACCTCAAACTCACAGAGATTGCTTGTCTTTGCCTCCCAAGTGCTGGGATTAAAGGCATCACCCCTGCCTGGCATGATTTCACTTCTTTTAATGGCTGAATAATATTCCATCGTGTGAATGTACCAGATTCTGATTATTCATTTGTTGATGGACATCTATTCTTTAGTAGTCCTTTGGGTATATGCCCAAGTGTGGTATAGCTTGTTCTTGAGGTAGATTTATTACCAGTTTCCCAAGGAACTGCCACACTGATTTCCATAGTGGTTATACAAATTTACAGCCCCACCAGCAATGAATGAGTGTTCCCCTTTCCCAGCATGAGCTGTCATTTGTTGTATTGATCTTCATTGTTCTGATAGGTGTAAGATGAAATATCAAAGTGGTTTTAGTTTGCATTTCCCTGAAGGCTAAGTGTATTGAACATTTCTTTAAGTGTTTTTGAGCCATTTGAGTTTTCTCTTTGGAGAATTCTTTTTATGTCTATATGAGGGTGTCAAATCACTTGGAGCTGGATTACAGATAGTTATGAGCTACCATGTGGGTGCTGGGAATTGAACCCAGGTCCTCTGGAAGAGCAGCCAGTGCTCTTAACCATTGAGCCATCTCTCCAGTTCCCTCTTTTGAGAATTATGTTAGTTCTGTACCCTATTTTAAATTGGGTCATTTGTTTTCTTACTGTCCAGTTTTTAAAGTTCTTTATATATATTGGATATTAGCCCTCTGTTAGATGTGTACTTGGTAAAAATCTTTTCGCATTCTGTAGGCAGCTGCTTTGTCCGAATGATGGTGTCCGTTGCCTTACAGATGCTTTTCAGTTTCATGAGGTCCCATTTATTAATTGTTGATCTTAGTGCCTGTGTTCTGTTCAGAAAGTCTTTTCCTGTGCCCATGAGTTCAAGGCTATTCCCCACTTTCTTTTTCTCTCAGAGTCAGTGGATCTAGCTTTATGTTGATGTTCTTGATCCTT